AACTTGCATTTTTTTTTTTAATATTTTAGTACAAATATTTTCCATAATATATCTATTTTTTTTAGAAATTATTGTACTGTAATTTATATTTATATTAAGTAAAATATATTAATATATTATAATTAGAGGGCCTGAAAAAAAAAGAAAGAAAAGTGAGTCTGGCAACCCATCTGCGTCGAAGGGTTAACCGAATATTCACATGGTATGATTTTTTTATTGACAAATACATATGTTTCTTTTTTTGACACTAAGTTAACAAAAATTGTAAAGGTATTTTTATTAGTAAACTTTTTATTTATTCCTAACGGTATTTTCCAACAATATTTATTTATCAACCTTTCTTTGTATTTTTTTTAATATATCACGCATTCGATGTTGATTATTATTCCAAATTAAAGATTAAAAGCTAAAAAAGGTACTCAATTATTTGCCCAATTTAAAAAATTATTAAAGCATTAATTTCAATTTTTATTGATTTCAACGTTCCCTCTTACATATACATTAGTACAAATCTGCAAGTTGCCCTGTATTAAAAAAAATAATAATAATTTGCAAGTTGCCTTTTGTATTTATTAAAAAAAATAATAATAATTTCCACACGTTGCGGGTGTAATGTGAACTGGAGATGTATTTTCAATTTTTAAGTACAAAAACTCAAAATTCTGTGAATAATAACAATTGTGTGAACAGTATTTTTTATTTTTTTTTTATGTTGGACAAGCATTAGTAATGTATGAAACAATTAAAATGGTCAATTCTTCCTTGTATAGGAAATATTCAAAATTTTTCGTTGTTAATGTGATTTGAACGACCAATGAAAAAATGAAACACGCAATCATTTACAAAGCAGACTTTTTTCAGTTAATTTGTTTTTACAATATATAATATTACATTGCATTACATTGCTGTATCAATACGCGCATTGATGCAGCATTACATTATACAATACTATACAATAAAATATTATTATATTATATTATATTATATTATATTATATTATATTATATTATATTATATTATAATGTTAATATTTATTTACAATTCATGTTCATATATTATATTCCAAATTTTGTTATCCTTCTCTCTTATAGGGCATGAAACATTTGTAATTTATGTTACTAAACAGTCTTCAGTCATGGCTTGGAGCTCTGTAAATGGCACATCTTTACGTTTGTACATTTACACCAGTGCTACTCAGGGTCACTCTCGGTTTTACTTTAGTTGAAGGCCTCCTTTTTTCACCATACTCTATTTTCTTCTTGTTGTTGTTGTTCATTTACGTCACACTAGAGCTGCACAATGGGCTTCGGATCATCCCTGAGGATGATCCGTAGACATGCCATCACAATTTTGATCCTCTGCAGAGGGGATGGCTTCGGTAGCCCGACGACCTACGCGCGAAGTCGAGCACTTTACGGTAAAACAGTTTAACGAAGACCAATACCGCACACCCTCGATCAATACGCAGACTGATCTAAGTGGTCAACCCACCCGCACACTGACCGCAGCCAGTGATGCTTGACTTCGACGATCTGTTGGGAACCGTGTCTTAACGACCAGTCCACTGCGGGACTCTAATTTTTTGTACTGATAGTATTGTAGATTATATATAAGTGCGACGAGCTCTCTGCGTTAGCTTAGAGCTCTGTGTTTCCATTAATGAAGCTTCTGATAGGACACGGACGTGAATTGCGATGCCCTCTGTTGGGGCTGGACGGAGTTAAGTTACAGTAATTATATCAAATGGTAATAATATAAATTTTCATTGCTTCTCATTCTGCTTTTGTCGCGTTAATTGTTTTTCATTCTTGACAGCTTTTTCTTCCTCGCTTTTGTCTCTTCTCTCTTAGGTAGACATTGTTAACATTTAAAAATTTTTAATCTTTTCCCGTGTGGTTTCGTGATCTATTCCTTCTTCAGAAAAGAATCTGATGCATAAATTGAATAAATACAGCACTAAAAATCCTAAAATACGTATTTAACAAATTGTAAATATTTCTGTTCAAATGTTTTAAAAGTTTTTACATTGGAAAAGTTAATTGTAAAACTTTGTTTTACTTATAATTCAGTATAAAAATTTTATGCTAATTTAATAAACATTTAAATAACTGTTACAATTATTCTTATTTTCTTTTCTTCTATTTAATTTAAGCTAAAATAGACTAGAAATATGCTTTTAACATATTTTAAAAAATTAAAAAAAAAAATGGCCATAAAATAATAAAATTATACATTAAAATTAAAAAAAAAAAAGCGCTAAAGATTTTTTTTTTACTTCAACAAAAATTTTACCTTTTTAATTATTTTCTTAATCATATATTATTTACAAAAATATTTTTATGAAGAATCAACAACTAATCAATCAAACTGGATTAATAAATGATTATACACAATTCCACAAGCTCAAATGTGAATTGATGTGACTTTAAATAAATATCTCACACGCAGCAGAAATAAATTAAATTAATAAATTAAACTAAACTGAACTTTAGTTAATAAATTAAACTAAATTATTTATTATTTTCTAGGCGAGCAAAAAATATAATGATGAAAATAAAGTCGACATGTTTCGAGTGCTCAAAAATAGCTCCCATTCTCAAAACTCGACAGGAGCGAATAACATGTGACGTCAATTTTTGAACTCTCAAAACAAGTCTACTTTTAATCTCATCTTCATAGTCTTTGAAGTCAATGAAGTTTTTATCTTTTCACTTCAGTTTCTTGGGATTATTTGTCTAGTAGCAAAGTATATTAAATTATTTCGTGCGATTAAAATAAAATAAATAATTATTAAAATAAGTTTACGTAAAATAATAACAGAAATTCATAGATTGAAAAATAATAATTCGTCTCAACTTGTTTAAAAATCAATGCAGAATATTTTTTTTTCCTAACTGCTAGCCTTAACAATATTTTTAAGGAAGTCAAGAAAATTCTGTTTACTATTGAAATTTCAATAACAATGAAAAGTCCCCTAACCCCCAGGAATCAAAACTAAATAGTTACAAGGTCGCATTTATTCCAAACAAGTTGACATTTACGTCTTACTAGAAATTGCTTGAAAATGTATTTCCTAATTATCGATTCCAAAATTTTATCTATCTATATTTTAAGGTACACTTTAGGCGTACTTCGATAGAGTTTATTTTTACATCTTTATTTGCTTAAAATTATTAAAGCTACATGATTTAATGATTCATCCATAGTATAATGAAATAATACTATAATAGTATCCTTATCCTTGATATCGCTATCAACAAATTAATGGAATAAGTTCAGATGAATTATAATAGTTAAATTGGCTCTAGTTTTAGCTTTGAAACAATAAAATGTTTCGTTCAAGCAGATTTCAATTCTGGAAATAACGTAATTATTGAGAAGGTTCCTTAGAACAATATTATTTTTATCCTCTTATAATAAAATGTGGGAAAAATTTGTACTAATAATTTCTGTAAAAAGTATGTTACCCATTTCACTGCTCATTTTTTTGAAAAATAAAATTGGTCCGAAAATTACGTATTTTTTATTGATTTCAAGTCAGATGATGTTTATTAAAATAGCACTACTTTAGAATCTTTTTACAATTTTCCATTTTTAGTATTTGCTTACAATTTTCCATTTTTAGTATTTGCTTACAATTTTCCCTTTTTAGTATTTGCTTACAATTTTCCATTTTTAGTATTTGCTTACAATTTTCCATTTTTAGTATTTGCTTACAATTTTCCATCTTTAGTATTTGCTTACAATTTTCCCTTTTTAGTATTTGCTTACACACAATTAACACAAGGTTGCGTTAAACGTTTAACGCAACCTTGTTGGAAGTCGCATAAGTAGTATAACTTCAAAAATATTTGTACATAAACAGAAAAAAATATGTATATTCTTATAAAAGTTAAAACCTAATGCCCGAGAAATAGTTTTACTAAATTTAATGACATAACAAGAATGCCTATTTAAACTATACATTCCATAGTTTTAAGAATCATATTACTTCAAAAATTAAAATGAACAAAAAATATACATAAGCCTCATAATTTTATGAAATTTAATTTTGTAAAAAAAGTTTTTTAAAAACAATTTTTGTCAAAAAATTTCAAGTTTCAATAAAAATCATTATTTAGAAACTAAAAAACGTAAAATAAAGACTGCTGACGAAACAAAAACAAAAAAACAATTCTTTCTTGTCGCCATTTTTTAGTGCTACGAAAATTCGTCTTTGGTATTTGCCAAAAACAAAACAAGATGCAATTTTATTTTTTCAGGAGTGAAATATTTTACCGAAAAAACTGAAATGTATCAATTTTCACGACATGAAACTTAATCTTAGTAAACGTACGTTTTGGAAATGTTATTTCATTTGGAATCTTATTTGTCAGAGTTCATATGGCGATATGATTGTTTTGAATCTATGCTAAACTCTATATCGGCCCATTTTCCACCGAAATCCGATTGGCTACTTTGATTTTAAATGAAGTGTTTTATTTCGTGATTTGTCGCAAAAATTTTAAGTGTAATTACAGATTGGCGGCACTTAAAGACCGCCAAATCTGTAGCGGCGGTGGCGTTAGTACGTAAGTACCGAATTTTTATTCCATACTTTTCTGAATCATATTACTTCAAACATTAGAATATACAAGAAGTATACATAAACACATAATGTTATAACATTTAAGTTTTCAAAAAAAGTATTTCGACAACAATTTTTATCAAAAAATTAACTAAAAAATGTAAAATAAAGAATTCTTAGGAAAAAAAACGATTTTAAAAATTCTCTATATAGAAATAAAAACTTTCATATCGTTTCCTTTTTTATTCTTATAGTTCTTAATCAGACGTAAAAAACCATTCTGTTGAAAGCTATCATCAAAAAAGAAAAAAAAATACTTACAAGCAAATTTTTTATTATAAAAATCATAACACTCACCTGTTTTATAAATCCACAGAATTCCAAATGAAATGTTTTTCGTTTGAAAATTTTATTTTCAAATATATACGTGGAACCCGCTTAAAAAGTTCCCTTTTAAGAAGTTTTCCCGCGTAAGAAGTTATTTTTTAAAAAAACCAATTACCATAATGTTAAATTTACTTTTATAAGAAGTTTTTTTCCCGTTTAAGAAGTTTCCACTCCTAATTTCAATTTTTTAAAATTTTATTTAAAATGTCTTATTTAGTTTTAACTTGCCCTTACAAACACATGTATGGGTACTGACCACTGACCTTCATCACTCCTTTGTTACAAAGAAAGGTGACTTATCAGGAACAGGTGTGAGCAAAGGAATGTGAACCTTTAGATGAACTATGAAACTGATAAGAATGTAGGGAATAGCTTTGTCATTGTGTCCACCTTAAATGAATAGCCTGGTGACTCACGAACTTCACTGCTGTCCACACCCATTCAATAACTGAAGAGAAAGATACATCTAAACATTTAGCAGCATTTCGTTGAAAATTTTCTTAGTGTAGGCGCTTATGTTATCTTAAAAATCATCGTAAAAAGTTTGATTTTTGTGGAAAATGTCCTGTAAAGGCATTAAGCGTAAAGCTCTATCTATTGATGACAAAGTAAAAATTTTAAAAGCTGTTGACAGCTATCCTCAATTAACACGAGTTCAAATAGCAAAAAATTTAGATCTTCCTGTTACTACGTTAAATGGCATTATTGCTAAGAAAGACATCATCTTAAACTCTTCTTGTTCCGGTGCATCCCAGAAAGTAAAAAAAGTGAAGAAAGGAAAATACGAAAATATTGAAGAGAAACTGATGATATGGTTTAAACAAGCAAGATCCGCCAACATACCTGTCAACGGAACTCTTCTTAGAGGAAAAGCATTAGAGATTGCGGAGAAATTGAATGTTGATTTTACGCCTTCCAATGGATGGATTGATCGGATGAAAAAAAGAGCTGGTCTAGTTTATAAAACAATTAAAGGAGATTGTAACAGCGTTGATTTACAAGAAGCTGAAGAATGGAAAGCTAAATTACCTGAAATTATTTCAGGGTATCAACCAAAGAACATTTTTAACATGGATGAATGTGGACTGTTTTTCAATCTTTTACCAGATAAAACTTTTGCCTTTAAAGGTGAACCCTGTCATGGCGGAAAAAACAGTAAAGAACGTTTGACAATTTTAGTTGGGGCCAGTATGAATGGTATAGAAAAATTACCGATTTTAGTTATCGGTAAATCGAAAAAACCAAGATGCTTTCGAAATGTTAAGTCACTGCCTTGTGATTATGACAGTAATCAAAAATCCTGGATGACAATTAAAATTTTTGAAACGTATTTGAAAAAATTAGACAGTAAGATGCGAAAAGAAAAACGAAACATCATAATCTTCGTAGACAACTGCGCTGCTCATTCCAAGGAGAATAAGTACACTAACATCAAGTTGCAGTTCTTACCACCAAATTCTACTTCTGTTCTACAACCAATGGATCAGGGAGTTATTAAGGTATTTAAGCAGCATTATAAAATGCGACTTGTGAAACGGATGCTGGAAGGACTTGAAAATACTGGAGAGCTAAAAAAAGTCAATATGTTAGAAGCGATTGAGTTAATNCTATAGAATGTAAAGTTTAAATGGGCCTTTCTTGTTATATCATTAAATTTAGTAAAACTATTTCTCGGGCATTAGGTTTCAACTCTTATAAGAATATAGTACATACTTTTTTCTGTTAGTGTACAAATATTTTTCCGATATGTTTTGGATATTCCTTCTCTAATAAAAAGAGATACCATTTTGTTTTCGTTTGCATAAGAAAGAATATCAAAAATTTTTCTTTTTTAAATTTAATTGGCCACAATAAAGAAGGAACGTTGCAATGCTACGTTCTACATTAAAGACGTCTCCAGAGTAACTGAATGACGGTTCATATAGAAATCGCAGGTATGCGTCTCATACAACAACGCCCCCTATAGTTCGTTGCGATCGCGAATAGTTCTTAATCAGACGTAAAAAACCATTCTGTTGAAAGCTATCATCAAAAAAGAAAAAAAAATATTTATAAGCAAATTTTTTATTATAAAAATCATAACACTCACCTGTTTTATAAATCCACAGAATTCCAAATGAAATGTTTTTCGTTTGAAAATTTTATTTTCAAATATATCTATGCATAGATTATCTCTTCATTACATTTAGATAACATACCACACATCAAAATTTTCAAAAGCAAAATAGCTGAATTCTAGTTGAAATTATTCTTTCAAAACTAAAAATTGCTTACCAAGAAAACGATAAAAAATTATTAATAATCAGCACAAATTAAACTATTTCAAGTAGTTCGGATGATTATTGTTGTTTTCCGAATTATATAGAGACAGAAATACGTATATACTATTCTATAAGGAAGAAGAATATTCTATAACTATTAGAGTTCTGTAAGCTCTGAATTCACTTTATTCATTGGAATGACTAAAGCAATGTTGACTTCACTTTAATTTGTAATGAATTGAAGACAGAAAAAATCGTTTTACCGTAATATGCACATCTGTAACAGCAAGTGATCATGAAATCCGAAGTTATGTTGTTGGTAGTAAGGTAAAAATTATTGAGAAATTGTTCTTCAAACGCTTGGCGTGTTCTGCTTCAATGTTCTGGTTAGTTTTTTCAAATTCTTCTACCTTTTCCTTAGGGAAATTTTGCTTCTTATTTGCTGCTAAGAAAATGGCGTCCGTCATGGCCAATGGTTATGATGGAATTAATGTCCGATATTTTCAGTCACCCGCTAGAGGGCGTTCTCGAGCGTTGAGATCGCGAATTGAGTTTTAAAGATATTAGAACAAAATTTTAAAATGAACTTAAGTAACCAGGGCCCTATTAACCTCTGTAAATAGGGGAAGCATAATAGGATTTTGGGGCCCCCCTAACTTGAGCAAAGGATACTTTTGATATTTTTCGTCCATAAACAATACATTTTAAAGAGACAAGACCCAAATCGGGGGAAAAGAACAATACACTACATGAAATAATGCGATTGGCTTAGGAACATAGGCATGGCATCTGTGATTGGATGTTGCTTATTGCTTGAGTTGGTTATAACCAACCCAACGAGAAAAACCGGTATATTTCGACAACGATGCTTTTACAAACGTGACGTTACTAAGCATCCCATTTTTTTCTTTCCGAGAGTATTTGTTGGAGTAATTTTTTTCTTCTAATTTCTTTTATTATTTTTTTTTCTTTGCAAAAAATAAGAAATTGGACCCTTAATTTCAGTCATTTGGGCACCCCCCCCCCTAGAATTTTACAGGGGAAGCACTTACTTCCTGTGCCTTTTCGGTAATTAGGCCCTGTAAGTAACTAAACTGTTATAAACTACTTTTCAGCACAACTAAGTATAAGATCTTATAAAACAATAATGTTTGGATGGAATAAGTTTAAATAACATAAAAGTAAATATTCACACTTGTCTTAGTTTTATGGTCAAATTCGGAGTAAAATAAGACGTTTAAAAGCAAACGACGTTTTGCATCTCGTTATAGACAGATACATCCCGTTATAGGTAGAAACATAACCTAGATGGGTAAAGAGTTTGACTTACAAACACTTAATGTATGTACATGCATTGCAAATACATATATTTCTGTACATACATTGTAAATACAAGCACACATTTATACATTATGTGTGCTAACGTACATGCATACATTGTATATACATATATGCATAATGCAACATTTTCGTGTATACATACGTACACTCATACATACACATGCTTTGATGAAGTACATAGATATGTGCGTACGTACATATGAACATACAATACACGTATAAACTATGTATGTCTGTGCATGAATTTTATATGCATAAATATGTACATATATCAAATGAATAAAAAAGTTCTTACACGCGCGTGCAATGCTCGTATATACCGACATTTATACTATGAATGTACTTGCGTGTTTAAATACTCGTAAACATATTTTTTTTATATCCGTCGTTGAACAGCCGACCCAATTTTTGGGTTTACGCCTACTAATGTTCAACCCCGTAGCCTTGAAATTTTGAACCAATCCAGAAGACAAGGAAACTCCTGGATTAGTACCCCCTGAGGAATTGATTTGTTATGGGAACATGGAGGATTTTGAGACTCGACAGATTTAACGTGCATCAGTAACCATTTACTACATGGGGAGTCTTCAACCAGCGGGTATCGAACCCACGAACTCTTCTTGGACATGGGCCCAGTGCCCTACCGACCAGTTTATCCCGGCCTACTTAAATATGTTGTCTCTACATACGAACATACAAAATTACATACATGTTTACATGCATATTATAAAATTATAATGTGTGTACAAATGCCACTTATGCGTGCATAGGTACATTTCTAATATATAGGTAAATCTGTATATTCATTCATATATCGCATATTCTTATGCATGCCTGTACATGTACATGCTTACGCACAAATATTAAATGAGTTTAAAATATATCTACGTATGAGCGATTGTACGCATCCTACATATAAATATGTGCGTATACATACGAGCTTACATGCATTACTTGTACATTAATAAATTGCATTTATATATGTGAGTTCATTGTATTACAGAAAATATGTTAATACATACAAACATGAATATTTAATACATACAAACTAAATAAGCATAAAGTATGCAATCGTAGTTACTTGTAATCGTATATTTTAGTTACATGTTCTCGCAATTACTTGCAATCACGATTGCATGTAACTATAATTGCATGCAATTATATATTTTGATTACTCAATCATAATCATTCGTAATCGTTTCTTATTGTGATTACAAGTAAGCACAACATAACCTTATTCACGTATTTTTACTCGAATTTTCGTATGTAATTCTATTTTTAAAAGTTTTCATTTAATAAATCAAACAATAGTAAACTAAATAATTCATTTACAGTTACAATTTATGCATTGTTTTAAAACTGTTCAATTACCTATAACCCTTATTACAATGCAGTCAAGCCCACTTGAAATTATGATTATATCTACTAAAGTTGTAATCATATATATCACAATTACTTGCATTTAAGATTACCTGTAATTGTTAGATCATGATAACTTGTAGTTATGATTTCTTGTAATCGTATTTTATCATTACGTAAGTAGTCATGGTGACTTGCAATCCCAGGGCTTGATAATTTGTAATTGGGTATACTATAGCCTACGTCACAGGTTGTGTTATTCCTACTAAATTTAACCCATGAACGGCATTTTCTGCGAGCCTAACTTCAAGCCACAAATAAACAAACGAAGTGTTTGATCGTTTAAATAGCTGCTCGCCAGATTTTATTGCATTATAAAGAAAAGTAATTGATATTCGATTTTCGATTAATAATTGATTTATGTGGATTTTGGCATAGAATTTAGCATTGCGTCATGGTAAATGTTATTCCTACTAAGTTGAAGTAGTTGTGTTTTTTATATATTATACCCAATTCTGATTATCTGCAATCCTTTTTTGTTGTGATAATAATTATTCATAACCGCTTGTAATGAGAAATAATAAATATTTGTTACTGTGACTGCTTGTTATCATGATCATTGCAAGCAGTTGATTTATCTATAATTGGGTATACTATAGCCTACGTCACAGATCGTGTTATTCCTACTAAATTTAATTAGTAAACAGCATTTTCTGCGAACCTGATTTCTAGCAACAAGTAAAAGCATTAAACGAAGTGTCTTGTTTATAAGTCGCTACTCGCCAGGTTAGAATTGTATTAGTCTAGTTCACCAGAAATTTTCTGAATTTCTTCCGGTTTAAAGACGCTTGTTATTGTTTACATTAGACCACCCATCCATATGACATAATGCGTGAATTTTTCACTGGTTATTCAAATTTTATTCACAAAAATTAGTCATAACTAATAAATTTATTCATTAATCAAATTTGCATAATGAATGATGAATAATGCGCAGCACGTTCTCCCACCCTCTTCCTGGCAGCAGCAAGTGATGCTTGACTTCTGTGATTAACTGGTATCCATGCCAATTACAAGATGCGAACAAAAACCTGCCGTTAACCAGCGAAAAACTTCCCAATCCGCGAAAATATTCCAAAATTTCGATGGAAATCGCATATGCAGTTTTTTGCCAGCAATTAGTAGCGACATCTACTGGTCAAAAACTGTTCCAAGATCCTGGACTTCAAGTGCGTAGAAATAAGCGACCAATAACGTAAACAACAACTTTTACCGGCAACCGCAATTATGCACTTGTTTGTTTCAGAATTCTTTACTGGGATAAACTAAATTAAAACAGAGTGACTGATAGCTAAAACTTTTTATATTAGTGGGAAATTTATTTCTTGCAGTACATGTAATCAGACTTTTTTTTATCAAATTGTTCATGCAGTATGGGGGAAAAAAGATTTTCTCAGAAAAGTAAACTTGTTGTAAATAGTGTTATTCATCCTGTAAGAAAATCTTATTCCTGTTGTATATGTTATAAGAGTTTTTCAGAAAAAGGTGCACTGACTATACACAGTCGTGTTCATACTGGTGAGAAACCTTATTCATGTAGTGTATGTATTAAGAATTTTTCGCAAAAAAGCCATCTGATAATACACCACCGTGTTCATACTGGTGAAAAACCTTATTCTTGTAGTATATGTAATAAGACTTTTTCAGAAAGAAGTGCACTGACTAAACACAGTATTGTTCATACTGGTGAAAAACCTTATTCTTGTAGTATATGTAATAAAAAATTTTCAGAAAGGAGTACACTGACTAAACACAGTCGTGTTCATACAGGTGAAAAACCTTATTCTTGTAGTATATGTAATAAGAGTTTTTCGGCAACAAGTACACTGACTAAACACAGTCGTGTTCATACTGGTGAAACACCTTATTCTTGTAGTATATGTAATAAGAGTTTTTCAGAAAGAAGTACACTGACTAAACACAGTCTTGTTCATACTGGTGAAAAACCTTATTCTTGTAGTATATGTTATAAGAGTTTCTCAGAAAGAGGTACACTGACTAAACACAGTCTTGTTCATACTGGTGAAAAACCTTATTCTTGTAGTATATGTAATAAGAGTTTTTCAGCAACAAGTACACTGACTAAACACAGTCGTGTTCATACTGGTGAGAAACCGTATTTTTGTAGTGTATGTAATCTGAGATTCTCAAGAAAAGGTACACTGACTATACACAATCGTGTTCATACTGGTGAGAAACCTTATTCTTGTAGTGTATGTATTAAGAGTTTTTCACAAAAATGCCATCTGATAATACACTGTCGTGTTCATACTGGTGAAAAACCTTATTCTTGTAGTACATGTAATAGGAGTTTTTCTGAAAGAAGTGCATTGACTAAACACAGTCTTGTTCATACTGGTGAAAAACCTTATTCTTGTAGTATATGTAATAAGAGTTTTTCAGAAAGAGGTACACTGACTAAACACGGTCTTGTTCATACTGGTGAAAAACCTTATTCTTGTAGTATATGTAATAAAAGTTTTTCAGAAAGGAGTGCACTGACTAAACACAGTCGTGTTCATACTGGTGAAAAACCTTATTCTTGTAGTATATGTAAGAAGAGTTTTTCAACAACAAGTACACTGACTAAACACAGTCGTGTTCATATTGGTGAAACACCTTATTCTTGTAGCATATGTAGTAAGAGTTTTTCAGCAAGAAGTACACTGACTAAACACGGGCTTGTTCATACTGGTGAAAAACCTTATTCTTGTAGTAAATGTAATAAGAGTTTTTCACGAAAATACCATCTGATAAGACACAGTCGTGTTCATGCTGTGGAGAAACTTTATTCTTGTGATATATATAATAAAAGTTTTTTACAAAAAGATCATCTTGCTCTCACTGTTTAGCAGCTATATTCTTGTATTTGTAAAAATTATTTTTACTTAGGGACTATCCAGGTAATCACAATTGTATTCATACTTGTTTTGTAGCATATGTAAAAAGAGTTCTTCTCAGAAGGCTGACTTTGCTTTTTCTGTTGGTATTCACATTAGTGAGGAAACCTTTTTGTTGTAGCATAATGTAATAAGTTTATCTCAAAAATTTCTTCTTACTAAATACAATATTTTTCAGAAATGTGATACACCATAATTTAGAAGTATATTTTAAATGAATTTTCAATAATACTGATCTAACTTTTTACATTCGAGTTCATACTTGTGAGGAACCTTATTCTAGTAATATATGAAGTAAGTGTTTCTGAACAAAAAACTAATCTTACTAATCATATATTTATTGATAATGGTGGGGAGTCTTATTCTTGTCATATATGTCCAAAGAGATTTTCCTTTAACTTATCATATTCTGATTCGTACTAGTGTGAGCTATAAATTATTGCAGTCTTTTTAAAGTAGATTTTCACTATATAGTAAAATGGCTGCTCATAGTCATGTCCGTACTGTGTATTAACCTATTTGTATTAAAGATAAATGTTTTTCACTCAAGTTTCGTCTGACTAAACATAGTCTGCTGGAATTAATTAAGCATTTTCTTTTCAAATATTTTTAAATTTTATCTTTCAGTTTTCATCATTTTTCCTTTCTTGTGTTTATTTATAAGTAGTGCTTATAAAATAAACTTCAGTATAGAAAAATTAATAATTTTAATTAAAATGCATCTTTAGAAACACATCTTAATTGGAATTTGTAACTTTGCATGCTGGATAACATTACTTTATCACCTGTTATATATAACATCGCTTACCCACCATTTATACTTTAGTCATAAATTGTTATTTATTATCTCAGCATTACAGTGCTAAGTTGAAGGTAATATTCCTTTTTTTTTTTTTTTTTTTTTTTTTTTTTTTTTTTTNAAAATAACATGCTGCATATTTTTTTAATGAATCCTTTCTAGCACATACTGTATAATTAAAATTTTTTATTTCTTTTAAGTACGGAACATTTTATGTTATGATTAGAGGAAAGAAGGTTTACATTGTTTTTAAATAAATTAGGTTACATTATAGTTGAAAAACAAGGTATAGATAGCTCCGTAAAATCAATTTCTTGTTCTTCAATCCTTAGGTTTTCACTATTTTTGAAATCTCATTTTGATCTAAACAAAGATATTGCTTTAATAAATATTATGACAGTCATATAAATCTTTACTTATCATAAACTTTTTTAATCACATTTTAACGTTTTAGAACCAATATTCAACCAAACTTTTGAAGAACGCAAAAGATTACTCAAACGGAAAGATAATAAAAATTTGTAAATCTAAATTAATTTTTTTTTAAAATTCCAAACACTAACTAAATAACTAAATTTAATAAGGAAATGTGCAAATGTTTTTAATATCATATGTAATAACTGCCCAATTCATGAATACTCCTTAAATAACTTTTTTGTTATAAGGTCTTTATGTTTAAGTGTGTGATATTAATTTGTAGTTCTTTTCTTAAAATGGTTCAGCACATTTTCAATATTTTGTGATAAATATTTATTTTTTTCCATATGCAGTTAAAATAAAATGCAATTTATTTAATTTTATGCTTAATACTGTAATACCATATCTGATACAAAATATTTCTTTTTTCTTCTTTTTTTGTTGTTTACATTCAATTAATATAAAATCCCCTTACATTAAAGTTGCATTTGCAAATTTCTTAATGAAATAAATTTTAAAAATTTGTAACAGGCATTCTATAAAATGTATTCTTATTTTTTAAGAATTTTTTTAAATCAAATTAGTGCTGTAGTAATTATAATAATGTTCATTTGAAGTAATATATCCTCATATTTTATGTAAATGTTCAACTTTGTTAACAATCAAGTTTCTAATGTTGAATAACCTAGTTTTTGTTGTGTATATAATAAAATATCGTCACAAAATAGGTAGTTTTTTTGTTGCTCATAGTCATGTTCATTTCATTCATGTCCATTTTTTTTAATAATCATTTTTCAATCCACTTGACAGGAAAATAATTATAAATACTCTTAAATTGCCTTAGTTCTGAATAAAATTATCAAAAGTATTGAGTACTAGCTGCCTTTAGCAGTGAGCTTGATCACCTTTCCAAGTTATTTAGTACAGCTTGCACTAAACTAACTAACTCAGTAGCGCGACAGCCCATTAAGAGGGCCAAGGCCGACTGTGCCCATCTCAGTTTTCTTGACCTTGGGCTCTGGGGTGCAGGAGCATATGTTCCGGTCAGGTGGTCAGCCGAACGCGGAACCCCCAGTGTTAGTTCCCAAGCACAGCTTGCACTGCCCTATAGTAATTGAGGAAACACTTTCAGTTTTTGAAATTTTTTTTTAAATCTCTCAAAAAGTACTGAGAGAATTATTTTATTATTTAGTGGTGTTTATGTCATGTAATTTCTCATACTCATCAATAAGTTTCAAAGCTTTCACAGGCTTGAAGAAGTGATAATAAATTACGAACTTAAACAAGTATTTTTGAAAACCCTGTGACAGAAAAATATAGCCGTAAATAAACTTGTAACTTACTTTGATTACTTTGGTTGTTATTTTCAATAGTTGAATTAATTTTCGTAAACCCAGCTTAAATATATAAATAAATTCTTTAATTAAAAAAAAATGTACAACAAAATTTTCAGAACAATTTAAAAAACAAATTATTAACTAAGCTATTATTTTATAGTTTAAATTGAAATTCATTAAAAATTGCGCAAAATCAGCGCAAAAGTAATTCTTTCATACTTCACATACGCTGAGAAAAAGTAAGAACAATTTTTGTTAATAAAATGTCTCAGTGAATTGTATTCAGTGTCTGATGAAAATGACTGATTCAAATATCTTGAGCATTTAAAAAGTTTTTAGCAATTTTCTAATCAGTTTTTGTACTTTTTCAATGAAAGCTCTGAATGATAATGAGTTTCCCACAAATTTTATTTTGTACTATTTAATAAGATTTATTTAAAATGACAGCAGCATTTTGGGAGATCATCCTCCATAATAGTATATTTTCTTTCTTTATATCATCACATTTCAGTGTACAGAAGATAGTTGTAAGGTATCATTTCTTGTTTATTTTCGTCTGATGCAAAGTGAAATTTGTTTAAAACCCTATTTTATCATATTTTTTTATATGAACGTCGTTGAACAGCCTACCCAATTTTATGGGTTTACTGCTACTAATGTTCAACTCCGTAGCCTTGTAATTTTGAACCCAATCTAGAAAACAAGGGAACTCTTGGATCGAGTATTGAGAGAAATTTACCTTCGAGGAGGACTTTTTTTTGGTGGAACTAACACACATTTGTGTTACTGCCCTACTACGGCAAGGGAAATCTAACCCAATATCCGTCTACCACTAAGGATATTTTTGGTCAGCACTGTGGTTGGTGCAAGCTGGATGCGGAATTTGTATCGACTGGGATTCGAACCCGGCTCGCCTCATTGAAAGGCGAAAGTTCTATCCCCTGAGCCATCGCGGCTCCCTATATCATTTATAGGTTTCTTTTAAAAATACAAGTACTATTTAGAATATCAGGGTTGATTGTGCTCCGGAAAAAATCCGGCTTTCCGGACTTTTCGCTAACAGTGATCCGGAGATCGAAGGTCCAGACGTTTCAAAAAATCATTGATCACAGAAGTTTCCGGAAATCAAATTTTCAGAGATGGAACTTAAAAAGACTGTTTATTTTATTTGTTTGTAAGGGAGAGCTTATATTCATGATTAATATTCATTTTTTATCAGTAAATAGTTGTTATAATCATAACTCAAGAAAGAAAGACATATTTGTAAATCTTAATTACTTCTCCAGGTCACATATGTGCAAAATTTTAAAAATATTTTAAGTAAACTAAGAAATATCGAGAAAAAGGAATAAAAAACTGATTTAAATTTTTTTCTAATTTTTCAATTTAAAATTTTTTTTATAACTCGAGAAATTTTCCGGAATTTTGACTTGGGCTCACAATCACCCCTGGAATATTACTAGAAGCTTTGTGAATTTTCAAGATATTCAGATTGGAATTATATCCAATGAAGACAAAATAAATTAATAGTTTTTTTTTATAAATATGGCCATACTTGTATTAATATTTAAGTTAGGTTTGTGAAATTATTTGCAATAATTACTAATAAACACCAAAGTAATAAATACAAGTTACATGCTTATTGTTCTATTTTCTAGTATAGTGTATTCAAAATATTTGTTTTCGTTCGTAATTTATTGCCGGCCCTTCAAATCCCTGAAAGCTGTGAAATTTATCGATAAGTATAAGAAATTGCAGAATTAACTTAGTATTTCTTAAGAAATTTATAAAAATATCAAAAACCATAAGTGTTTCTATTATTATTATAAGTAATGGAATAAGTTTGAATGGTAACGAAGCCAAATACAATTCTTCTAGCAGTCCTCCAACCCTTCAGAACCGAATTTAAGCCTAGCTGGCTGGTTTCTAAGCTATTGAAGGAGTGGAGCCTTTATTTGTTCAACTCCATTTTCAATACACCAAAAGCAGACTGTCGCAGTTTTTTTATTGCTAATTATTTAACTATAAATTGTATTATTTACAAAGGCATTTGAAAATATTACTTGGCTGTCGAAAATATATATCTATATTTAAAAAATTGTACAAATCGCCGCAGTTTTGAGTGTTCAACTTAGTTTTGCTGCATAGAAATGACAAGACTTTGAGAATTTTCAAATCACAATATGTTTGTAGAAAAATGCATATAAGGAAATGCAAATGAGGAAATAATGAGAAAAAAAATTAACACTTGTTTATTCTTTCGAAACTTGTCGCGTCCCGCAGTGGACTGATCGTTAAGACGCGGTTCTCAGCAGATCAGCGAAGTCAAGCATCACTGACTGGGGTCAGTGTGTGGGGGAGTGACCACTTGAATCAGTCTGCGTAGGGACCGAGGGTGTGCGGTATTGATCCTCGTTAAACTGTTCTACCGTAAAGTGCTCGACTTCGCGTGCAGGTCGTCGGGCTTCCGAAACGT